ATCTCCAGGGTTTAAAGAAAAAACAAAAACACTACCAACTGTGAACTTTAATTACATCATAGATGTAACATCAAATTATGTCTCATTTCTTGGAGACCAGTAGAAGAAAAAAATATTAGCTGAGCCATTTACTTGCTTTGTGGCAGTAACAACTACCACAATGAGCAGTAATTAGATATCTGTGCTTTCTTAGTTTTTGAAGGGGAGGGAACCCGCCCAATGTCTATGACTGAAGAATCCTCCACAATGCATATGGTGGTAGAAGGTCAAGTCCACCTTGCACAAATCTTAGCCAAGAAGTCCAAACACACTCTTCCAGGCTCTCATGCAGCTAAAACAGAGGTATGTGAACCAGGCTCGGCCATTTCCATGCACCTGCCTCATATTTTCAAATTGTCCTTGATTTTCCTTTAAGCACTTTCACTTCCAGATGGATTTTTCAAATTTTATAGTGTTTAAGAAAAACACACACACAGGATTTTTTGGGCCATGAAACTACTCTGTGATATAACAATGGTAGGTATGTCATTATACATTTGTTCAAACCCACAGAATATACAATATCAAGAGTGAACCTGATATTAACTATGGACTTTGGGTGATAACAATGTGTCAGTGTAGGTTCATCAGTTGTAACAAATGCACACCTCTGGTGAAGAATGTTGATTATGGTGGAAGCTATGCATGTGTGAGGGCAAATCTCTGAACCTTCCTCCAATTTTGGCTGTGGACCTAAAACCACTCTTTAAACAAAAAGTCCTCTTTAAAAATTGGGGATTTCATTAGGGATTAAATGTAATGTCTACATGATTATGAAAGAGCTAGTTGGTTTAAAATAATGGATCAGCTTCTTCAGGAAAACAGTATTTCTTTCCACTTATTCAGGTCTTCCCTTAAGTCCTTCAACAAAGTTTTATCATTTTCTTTAACGTGAGGTTTGCACAGATGGTCACAGTGGCTCACGCTTGTAATCCCAGCACTTTGGGAGGCTGAGGTGAGTGCAACACATGGGCCCAGGAGTTTGAGATCAGCCTGGGCAACATGGTGAAAACTCTGACTCTCTTAAAAACAACAACGAACACCACAAAATTTATCCAGGAATGGTATCATGGTAGCTACTCAGGAGGCTGAGGTGAGAGGATTACCTGAGCCTTAGAAGGTCAAGGATGCAGTAAGCCGAGATTGTGCCACTGCACTCCAGCCTGGGTGATAGAGCGAAACCATCTTTTTAAAAAAAAAAAAAAAAAAGGCTTGCACATTTCTTTTTAGGTTGATAAAATTTTGTTGCTATCGTAAAGAGGGATTTTCTTTTCCCTATTCATTTTTACAAACAGTGTTGCTGTACAGAAAAGACATTAACTTCCTGTGTGGCTCTTAAATCCACTGTAAACTCCTACTAGGTCCAGATTTAATATGAGAATACTCTCAATCTTAAGAGTCTAGTAATTACTTAATTTTTAAGCTAAGTAACTGTGTAATAATAGTAACATGAATATTTTCTGATAGTAAAGGTCACTTAAAATTAAGAAACATGTGGTAAAGGTTGTAGGCCTCTCTGGAGAGCCTCAAAATAAACACACTGTCTTCTCTGCTTTTTTTAGATCAAAGTCCTAACATAAAGCAGAGAAAGGAAAAAAAAATAAGATGTCCTCATCTGGCCTTCTTCCTATATTATGGTTTAACACTGATTTTTGCTCCCTTAGGCCAAACTCAAGGTCAAGTGCTTATTTGCACTGATGGAACAGCAGGAACAAGGTGAATATGCTTTCTGAAAAACAAATGGTAAAATTTTAAAAATTCCATTTTCCAGTATGCCTCTATACCCTCTACTTTTTTGCCCAGCTATAAGCATTTCCTAGGTAAAAATGCATAATCCAAAAATAAAAAATTCTGCTAATTATTTTGAGTTCACTTGATGATTTTTCAATAGTTTAAGTTTCACCGTACATAATATTGCAAATATCCACTGGGCATGGTGGCTCATGCCCGTAATCCTAGCACTTTGCAAGGCCGAGGTTGGGTGGATCACTTGAGGTCAGGAGTTCAAGACTAGCCTGGCCAACATGGTGAAACCCTATCTCTACCAAAGATACAAAAATTAGCTGGGTGTGGTGGCATGCCCCTGTAATCCCAGCACAGGGAGGCTGAGGCAGGAGAATTGTTTAAACCCAAGAGGCAGAGGTTGCAGTGAGCCAAGATGGTATGCAACTACACTCCAGCCTGGTCAACAGAGCAAGGCTCTCAAAAGAAAGAAAAAAACAACAACAAACATACTATTGCAAATATCCTTATATACATATAGCTGGAATTCAGTATTTGCTACAATTTTACCTATAGATACATGTGATAACTTCTTTTTAGGGATAATTGAGGGAATAAGAACTGTTCAGTACTTCTGAAAAATATTTGGTTTCCACTGAAGAATACAAAGTTTATCTCAGTTACTGCATTTTCCAAATTCTCAAAGCAGGTTTAACATAAAAGAGTAGTAAAAGACTGCCTGCAAAAACAACTTGCAAAGGACATGAAAAGCTGAACTCAAGTTTTTAGACATGTTTCCTAAATCTCTATGATTATGAGTTCAAGTATATGGGAATGACTTTCATCTTTACAACAAAAATGGGTTTTAATTGGAAACAGTGCAGCAAAATTTTTCCATATTGCAGGAGATATTATTACCCAAGTTTCAGCGCAGTCTTGGTAGATTAGCCGGCTTTAATTTATAGAAAGACTTAGCTATGATTTACTTATATAATGAGAGCTGGCATGGACTCAACATATGAGTGGCCAAATTCCAAGTATTTCCTCCAACCATCCTGTGACATAACTTCATCAGGATTTTAAATTCCATCTGCTTTGTTGCTAGCCTAATACAACCAGGTTCTAGTTAAAAGCAAAAAGGCACATACCATGCAGATGTTTTATGGGAAACGTTCCCATCGCTCTTTCAAGTTGGTTTGTATTAGTGAAAAAGCCATAATGTGGAAATTATTATGAAGAAATTATTCAGAAAAAGCAGTAGTTGCTTTTAAAGACCAAAGGGAGAAATAAACCCAAAATCACAGGCTCTTAAATTGGAAAAGTTTCAAATGCAAACTATTATTCCTGTCTGGTGTGTCTGAAAGACACAGGTGCTGAAGATCATTAATATATTGCTATTTCTCCTAAGCCTGGCACTCGTCAAAGAAGATGGTAGGCCTGTTTTGAAGAACTGTTACTGACTAGGGAGTTTAGGCTTGGGGACCCTAGTCCTGAGAAAAATAACCCACTGGTTGGCAGTTCCAACCCAACAGACAACTTAAGATCTAAATTTATGCTGGAAATTACAAAGACTTCTAAAGAAGCAAATAACACAGTTCCTATGATTGGTGTCAGATGAGCCAAAACTGAAAAAAGTTTTTTGTTATTATTTTTAAACAGCTTTCAGAAAACTAACAAGAAAGACATTTTGGCCTTCACCCAGCAGAGGGTGAATGTTCCCCTGGATAGAAGTCCTGTGAACTGAAATTTCTCCACAGTAACAATTCTAATTAATTATTCAAAGCCAGGGGTTGATTTTCTAAGGTTAACTATGGTCTCCTGCTGATGTCATTAAAAACTAGTTTCTCCTTTTCATCAGTGTCTGCTTACCCAGGCACCGATGAGAAGCTTTAACAGCAGCCTTGCAATAAAGGCTCAACTTTTAAGGTGAGTTTGTCATTTTGCACACTTGGCTTAAGGTATAATTATCAATAAATACAAACTGTGTCTAGGTTCTATATAACCAAAAATTTTAGAAATCCACTTCTTCTCTTAGATAATGATGGAAACAACAGACATTAAGATTATCCTAAGGCACTGCAAGATCCTTTGAATTAAAGAGTTAACCATAATTTTGTGATGCTTCAGTAATAAGCATACTTCTTAAAACAGAAATTAAAACTGAAACATTATTTGACATAGTAACTCAGAAAACCAGTCATTCTCCAAGGAGACTGGATTAACATGAGTTTACAGAGTGAAATGCAACATTTCAGGCAAGTCAATTCATGCTAACCTATTTTTATTGTACAACACAGGTAGACAATATATAGTTTTTCTGCAAGAGAAAAAGGGTGTAACAGTGAGAGTTCACCAAAATATCTTAGAGTAGGTTATCACATGGAATGTAATGATAATCGAGTCACAATGACAATATGCACCAAAACTCTACAAACAAGAATGAAATTTAAGCCAAATTAAGTAGTTCTCATCATAATGAAAACAAGCAGTCCGGCATTAAGCGGGACTCCACCTGTTACGAGTAAAATTTGATACTCCAAAAGATGAGGACCAGTCAGCCAGCAGTTGGTCAAACTTATAAAATGTAATCACATGTGGGAAAGTGAATGAGCTTTCTAGAAACCAAATTCCTGAACACACCTGCTATCCCTCAATGTCTTTATCAAAATTATGAACCTTTAAAGTCTCTGGGAAAGGATTTGGTTATAACCCAAACTCAATTCTCAAAGTCACTTCTCATAAGAAAGCTCAAAATTATGTTTCCTCTCCTTTTTCTTTTTTAAGAGACAGGGTCTGGCTCTGTTGCCCAGGCTGGAGTACAGTGACATTATCACAGCTCACGGAAGCCTCGAACTCCTGGGCTCAAGAGATTCTCCTGCCAGAGCCTCCCAAGTAGCTAGGATTTACATGCATGGGCCATCATACCCGACTAATTTTTTTTAATTTTTTTTTTTTTTTTTTTTTTTTGTAGAGGCAAGTTGTCTCCTTATGTTGCCCAGGCTTGTCTTGAACTCCTGGCCTCAAGCAATCCTCCTGCCTTGGCCTCTCAAAATGTTGGGATTACAGGTGTGGGCCACCATGCCTGGCCTATTTCATTTCTCATAGCCTCCAGCACACTGTTTGTTCTAACCCAGGTAACACTCTCTGACCCACTCCCAAAGCAACAAATCCACCCAACCTGGAGTGAGGGGAAGCTTGCTGCCCACTGTCCATGACTGGACTCCTTCTTGCACACATACCTGCTTCCTTCTTGCCTCCCTTTCCTCCCTCTCGGCTTTTCTTCAGCACAGCCTTTAACATTTTCAACACTCTTGTTTCTAAAGAGAACAGGAGCAGAGAGAAGAGGAATTAAACATTGGAAGTTGGAATATAACTTGTGCATTGACAAAAGAGGTAACCTGTTTTCAAACAGAGCGCTTAAGGTACCTTGAGTTTTACATTAATTTTCTATGTATAAACTATGATGGGAAACTAAATGCTGAAGACACAAGGAATGTTCTAAAACTTTTAATGAAGTGATCACAAGTTCACTGTTGTTAGAAAAGCTAAAGAAACATACAATAGTGCATTCTCAGCATTCCACATCTAATTAAGGTTATGAGGCTAAACCTGGGTACAGTTCTCCAAGATATTTGGCACCGCTTCCCAGCCCCAGTTCATCAAAAGGCACTAGAACACGGAATCAAAAAGATAATGAAAGAAGCTACTGGTTAAAGGCAATGTTTTACAGGTGTTGCTAATATGTAATCACAAGGAAAACATTTTGGAAGGTTATGAAATGAGGCATACCTTACAAACATTTGCAAAATAAATACAGAGGGAACACATTTTAGCCCTGATCAGGGAACCCGATTAAACAGCACACACTACGGTGGGTTTTTACTATATATAGTTATAACTTTGGGTGGTGGGTAAGTAGAATAGGCCTGTGGCATTATGGCCAAATCCTTTAAAGGAGCTGTATCTTTAAGCAGTGTTGTACTGAGCTTGTAAAAACACCACAATGGCCCAGGCCTAAGATGAAACACGAAACCATCTCCACAGCTAGAGAAGACAAAAGGACCATTATTTCATCATGAAGCCTGTCTCCTTTAAGCTCCCTCTCTCCGCACTAGTAACTCAGATGAGATTACTTAACAACCCCAGACAGTAACCAATCTTAGTGGGTTGTGTTACCCATCACACCTTTATTAGTGCACTAAGAGGGAAGCAGGAGGCAAGCAGGTCTCTCTTTAACAGGCAAGGGGGTGGGGGAGAAATGAGGATGGGGAAGGGGTAGGGGAGGGGAGGCAAGGAGGGAGAAACTCCTATGTAGGAGTGCTCCCAAATCTGCCTACTTAGCGCAAATGCTTCAAATGACCTCAGTGTAACACCACACACCATCTCTCAGCCCCCAGAGTAAGCAAGTTTTGTGGGACCCACTGAGAAGTCTAAGGAACCCCAATGTGTTGCCATTCACAGAGTCACACAACATAAGCACACAGGGTGACCTTTCTTATCATTTGGTCCAAGCCTGTATTGTTTTCTCAAGTCCCTTTACTGATCAAGAAACAGAGACCCAGGGAGGCTGGCTTGCCAGGGGTCACGCAGCTAGTTAACAGCAGGGCCAGAATCCAAATCTGCAGCAGCCCAGCAGGACCACCTTCCTCCCCTCCACCAGGCTGGCCTCTCCTCACAGATCACTGACAGCTTTGAGCAACAACAAACAAAACTGTGTGATATTAGAAAGACAGTATCTTAGGCAGAATTTGGAAAAGGCCATACTGAAGGTTAGCAGAGTAAAATCATCTCACACACAAGTTTTTACATACTGAAGGGGCATGGCTTAGAACCTAATTCTCTTTTTGAAAATGCTGCTTGAATAAACTGTGGTGAAAAGATTTAGGTTTCACCTAAAGAACAAACACTAAACCTGGAAGGGAGCAATCGTTTCCATAAGGATGGAAAACACAAACTCCTCTTAAAAATCACACTTCAGGGAAACAATAAAAAATACTGTAGTATAAAAAATGGCAGAAAAACAATCATCAATAGATGCCTGGTAAACCCAGACATCTTCAACCAACCAACCTTTGGGGTTTATAATTTAGCAGAAACAATCTACTTAAAAAATAAGAGAAATATTGATGGAGCCATGCCACCAAAGCTTGTTCAAGGTCCCTGGCACCAGCCTTCATGAACTCTTCCAGAGCCATGTGTTTACCTGGATCACTGACCAGCTCAGGCCCTACAACGTCCATGAAGCTGCTCCTGATCAATCATTCAGGTCATCACCAGTTGGCAGCAGACCTACCATGCCACTCAGAACAGGCATCCCATGGGGCAAGGGCTAGGTAACACTGACTTTGGTATCTCATCCCAGACACCCTGTTTTCCTATTTTGGGGCACTCAGCTATTTTCAGGACAGCCATACCTTCCCCATCAGTGGTCTTAAGTGAAAGAGGCTATCAAATATCTACTGTAATTTTTTCTTCCAGTTCCTGTTTTCCTCCATAAATAGCAACTCAAGAGAAACAGCTTAAATTTTATATTCTAAAAAAGAGCTATTCAAACTGCAACGTGGAGAAACTTTAACTGATTATACCTGAGTGCAAAAATAAAGAACCATCCTTCCCTCCCTGAGACTAGAAAGGAAAAAAGTAAGTCTTCCCAGCAAGTTAAATTCTGAAATTAACACAGGTCAGAGTAGAGCTATACAAAGTCACGTGGAAGTCTCAATCATCTCTGGCCTAAAACCCATAACTGGAACTTGATAGTCACCAATGGACAGACAGGCTATGCCCACCAAAAGGGGGATGGTCGGAAATAGCATGAATAGGAATAGGCCACAGGGGCCAATGATGACAGTACACTCCAGAGAAGACTATCCAGCATGCTAGACAGTATCTGCAGACTTATAAACACACACCCCACATCCAATTCTGGAAATGGGGACACTGGTCTGTTGGAGCTGGGTGCTATTACACATTGACATGATATGACTACTTCTCCTTGTTCTGTTCATACTGAGAAGCACCTCATAATTTGGCTCCTTTCTTAGTCTGTAAACAGTGGGGAGAGAGTATGCTGGTCCAGTTCTGACAACCGTCTGGCTTGCTGACAGATCCAATTCTCAGAGTAAATTAATAAACCGGTACTCCAGCTTTAAACGAAAGCTCTCATGAACTTTGCTTTATTAAAAGGAGTCACTTTGTCCAGTCCCATCCATATAAGACATGGAGAATGTTGAATTTCTGAGGACCAAAGGGAAAACAGTGGTAAATGCCTCAATGGAAATGGCACTGTGAAGTCCACCTCTGTAGGCAGCCAGCAGGCTCTCCTCTTCTGCATCATCACACTTCTCCTTCTGCAGCAACTTCAACTATTGTCATTTTTTCCATTAAAGGGTGAATACTGAGCTGTCATGGACATAAACCAAATAGAAATGGAGCAAACCAGCCTTTCTGACACAATAATTCAGACTCAGCAGATTAAATGACAAGCCCAACACACTGTGTGGTAATGGAAGTACCTATGGACAAGCATCATAGGATAAAACATAATAAATAGTATTCTTTTTTACTGTGTATTTTTTTTTTTTTTTTTTTTTGAGATGGAGTCTTACTCTATTACCCAGGCTGGAGCGGAGTGCAGGGGCACAATTTCGACTCACTACAACCTCCACCTCCTGAGTTCAAGCAGTTTTCTTGCCTCAGCCTCCCAAGTAGCTGGGATTACAGGCACCCACCACCACACCCGGCTAATTTTTGTATTTTTAGTAGAGAGGGGGTTTTACCATCTTGGCCAGGCTGGTCTCAAAGTCCTGACCTCAGGTGATCTGCCCACCTTGGCTTCCCAAAGTGCTGGGATGACAGGTGTGAACCACTGCACCCAGCCTACTTTAAATATAGAGCAAAGGCACAGGTATAACTCAGATACCAACCAAACAGAATCCCTCAAGTTCTGCCCCATTAAACCTTAGCCTCTATGACAGCAAGTAGAACAAATGTACCACTGGACTCAAATACTTAAGCCTTTGAAAAAGTGAAGAGCATCAGATGTCATTTCTTCCCACTATATACTTTTGAGGAAGAGAGTGTAGGGGAGAAAAGATATCTTTTCCTCACCCATGGCAAGGTTCATGGCTGACACCCCTATAACAGGACAGATTAACAAGAGAAAGGCATAACAAATTTACTCAACCAAAGTTTTGCATGACACAGGAATGCCTTCAGAATTGAGAATCCAGAGACGCAGGAAGCTATTTTTAGGCTTAGGTACAATGAAGAACAAATGGAATGAGGCCTAATAATAATTGGAGTGGGGGACCTTGGCAAGGCCTGCCTGTCCAGATTCTTCCTATCCTCTGGGTACAGGGCAAGACCTCACTGGAATGAGAGTCTTATAACTCACTGTCAGGTGAGATAGGTCAGAGAATTTCTTCATAACCATGCTTCAGGGGAGAAAGGCAGGAGGAGGCAGAGGGTCCTCCTTTCTTCTGCAGTTTCTCTTATATGCCAAGGTACCATATTGGGGGTATCCTGTCCTGAGCTCCAACAAAAGGAAAGACCAACTGAAATTGACTAACAGAAGTAAATTTCCTGTAATGTTCATTGAGAAGAAAAGGTGAACAGTAGATAATATTACTCTTAGAAGGCCAAGGGCCTGAAGTCACCTAAATTTCTACTATCATTCAACATGCAAGTTTCCCAAATGTCACAGATTCTCTTTTAAAACCCCTAGAAGTTAGATTAATTATCAAAAGCTTACTTTTACTTCTGGTATTTCTCCTTCAGCACACCAAGTCTTTGGGGACAGGCACAACCTCTCTATATTATGTATTTGAACTCTGCACAGCATGTTGTGTTGGCACCTAAAACATAACAAAAAGCACCCTACACAAAAATAGTAAGATGATTCCAAAACAAGACAAAATCTATTTCAGCTTATAATCACAGTGGCAATAGCCATGACCACCTTGTCTGAGATCATAGAAGAACACTAACAGTAAAGTGTTTCTCTTCTGGAGTGCCATACTGCCTGTTTACACAATTTCAAGTGGAATCTGGGAGCTGAGGCAGGGACTATGTTTATTCTCTAACATATACAAACAGACGCCAGAACACAGGCTTTGCACCTCCCCAGTTCTCAGTATTTGTTGACAGGCTGCAATGAACACAGATAAGCAATTTCCTCCAAATGAAGCAATCAACCAACATTTATAGCAGTTTATAATTGACAAAGAACATTCCTATATATTCACAATTGCAAGGAATGCCAGAAAATTTTCCGATTAAAGAATAGTGTTGGGTTAGCAATAGCAGCTTTTCATTCTAC